CGCTCCTTCTTCCCGCCTCTCGCTCGCGCCGCCACCCCCGGCCCCACCGGCCGCCAACGGCCGCCGCGCGCGCTCGCGGTGGAGAGAGACCAATCCGAGGGGAGGGGCGGGATGAGCGGCAGGCGGAGCCCCGCCCACCACGGGCCGTGCCCTATATAAGGCGCCGGCCCGTTGAGGGGACAGCATGGCGGCGGGCGGCCTCGTATGGGCACTGGGGTGGGGACCGGGGGCTTCTCGGCAAGAGGGGGCCGAGTGGGGGCAGAGATGACCGGGCAGCGTGAAACGGGGGTTGCTGGAGGGGGAGCAGCACCATACACCTGGGGTTTTTCCCCACCACCACCTCATCTCATCATTACGAGCCCCAGCTGCAGGCCCAGCACAGGGCCCTCCCTTTGCCCCCTCTCCTCAGGTCAGGGTTGTTTGCTTCAAAGCAGCACAGCTGTGCCTGGCGCAGGGTCATCCACCCGGGGCTCAGCCTCCATCACATCAACCCCCCCTTCCATGCCCTCTCTGCGCTTCCAAGGACAAGGTCCTGTCTGTGTCACCGTGTAAAGGACAATGCCCTGTCACTGCCCAGATAGCCCTCTTTACTCCCTTACCCACATAAAAGGGGGCCTGAAATGACATTAAATAAAATTTCCTACCCTTGTTTGTGGTTTATACAAGCTCACCTTGGTCTGTTTCCATGGGTTGGATTCTGCCCCCGCTCATGGGCCTGGGGGGCATCTCCTCACCTTCTGCTTCCAAGCCCCTTTCCCAGCCCAGGGCTGCAGCGCTAACAACGGTTTGTTCCAACTGTTTATTCAGGTGAATTAAACCAGTGTACCATTTTAAGAGCGAGCTGGGACTAATTCTGAATTTAAAAAAAACAAAACACCAAACCAGCATAAAAAGCAGCTCCTACTTTCCCTTCCCTACAGAGCGCACCGCTGAGTTAACAGTTCGCCAAGCATTTAATTCCTCTTCTCCTCAAAGTTTGAAGCCAGATTCGCACCAGCATCACCACAGGCAGCTGCAGATCAACCGTTGGGATGAGCTCACCTGCTTCTCCTTGAGGGCTCTTATTCTTCTTTGAAGCTCAGTTTGTTCTTCACCTTCCTGGCCATGAAAGCGGCTGTGAGGACAGAGCAGGTGACAGTGAAGAGGCACAGGGCAGAGAAATTGTGTGCCAGATCACCCTGAAGCGTGGAATAGATGTGTCTCCTGGACTCATAGTCCAACACCACCCCCTCGATCTGCGCCAGCGTGCAGAGCACCAGGCACACATGAAAAATCTGATGGCTCTGGCCAAAGAAGTGACATTTCCCCGGGAACCACTTCTCGGGGTAAGGGTGTGAGAAAAAAAAGGCGCCGATGAGGAAAAACACCACCTGGCATTTGTGATACAGAAGGGCCGGGTCCTCCTGCTCAGAGGGCGGCGCGGTGAAGATGCGGTGGAGCACGGGGCTGATGTCCAGCACATAGGCCAGGCCGGAGGGCAGCTCCTGGCAGAGCCGGCTCAGGAGGAGAGCAGACTGGTGGTACCGGTACTTGGCGTAGCAGGAACCAGCGCAGGACAGCCAGGCTAACAGGACAGCTGCTGGCATGTAAAACCCCTTAATCTTCTCGTGCCAACTTGGCTCGATGGCGTAGTAGTAGTGCCCCAAAGCGCTGCCATACTGGTAAATGGCCACCCCCACGTAGTCCATGAAGAAGAAGCTGTAGTGCCAGAACTCGGATTTGGCCTGCAGAAGGTGAGCGAGGGTGCTGAAGGTCAGGTAGGTGATGGAGGCCACGATGATGATGAGGAGGGGTTGGGCGTGAAGGTCCTGCCCGAAAGCCACCCGCTGCGAGAGCTGTTGGAACCGCAGCAGCAGGATCAGGGCTGCCACCAGATGGGTCCAGACGTTGATGGCCTCGTTGTGCTGCTGGAAGAGGGTCGAGAAGTAATAACGCCAGGTCTGCTGCACCGGCCGGTAACCGGTGTGGATGTAGGGCTTCCAGAAGACCTTTGGCACCTCCGAACTGCTGACGGTGGAGGGAGAGAGGGGGCCCAGCAGCTGGGGGACCTGCCTCACGTTAATGAAGAGGCGGCTGAGCTTCTCGGTGACAACCGTTGCCATGATGCAGCCCAACTCGGGGTCCCTGCCACGGGAAGCAACCTTTGGGATGGAAAGAGTTTTGTTGCAAGGTTTAATAGTGATTTCATAAAAAACAATAATAACAATCAACAAGGAGCGGTTGTTTGGATGCTTTGGGTTTTTTTCCCCCCAAAGGTATGTGACTGGAGAATGGCCTCATAATAACTGAAATAAAAGAATCACCAAAAATAGTAATAGGAAGGAGGCTGAAGGGAGATTTAAGATCCCCTGGAGCGGCCCGTGCTGCACAGGCGACAGCCTGTCTGGAGGAGTACAGGGGTAGAGAACATGACTATGGGGTTAATTGATACAATAATTAACACACCAGGACCCATCAGCTCCTAGCTCCCCCCTTCCCAGCAGTTTGGGAACTGCTAAACAAATGAAACATCCTGAACAAACTCCAGGAACAGCCCAGATTCCCTCCCCCCTTGTAAACTCTTCACAGTATCATCTTCACAAAGGACAACGAGCCACGTTCCCCCCAGCAGCGAGACCTGGCATTCAAGAACATAAATAACTGTAACGCCAGCAACAGAAGATACAACTTTTGCATTTAGAGTTTTTTTACTGTCTTTTTTTTTCAGCTCCTGATTTTCCATGTGGTTTTGCACAAAACCAACACAGCTCAAGTGAGTTCATCCTGTTGCATCACCGAGGTCCAGCAGCGTAATCTTTGAGAGCAAGCCTTTCCATATTTACATTTTTGAGGCTGCTGTCCTTACCCAGATAAAGGCAACCCTGCTTTTTTTTTTTTTCCTGCCTTTTCAGGGCAGCCTTAGAAACACATTGAACAGAAGGTGCTCGAAAGGAGATTCCCCCCCTCTTTACCTGCTCAGACAAGTTCCGAAGAAAACAGCCTGACTCCCGTCCAGCTCCGGTGCCGATTTACGCCTCAATTCCTGGCAAGTGCAGTCATTTCAGGGACAGCTCAGGCAGGAAAAGCTCTTCAAAGTTTGGGAACAGAAAGAGGAGGGGATGAGACTGTTTATTTTAAAGATCTCTACAATTTCCCCATAAAAACGGAGTAGTTAGGTCTGTAACTCATGCCTGCCTGAAGCTGAGGAGCACAGATGAAGATAAAAACAGGGTGTTTGCCGCTTGACTTCCCTCTTGAATGCTCTTTTCCTACCTCACCTGGTTAAAGAGGCCCCAGGTGGAAGCCAGCACCTGGTGGAGAGTGGTCCTGACCCTCCCGTGGCCTCCTAAACCCTCCCTTACCTCTGCAACACGCACAGGCTGCCAGTGAAAAATTAACTTCAGAAACCTCTTCCGGACTTGCAGCTACTGCGCCGAGCTGAAACAGCCTCCAGTCCTGCCGGGGGGGCAGGGGGGGAACCGAGGCAAAAGCAGAACTTGCCAGGCTAAGCTATTTTCACCCAAAATTCAATGGGTAGTTCAGAAGAAAACGCTGCATTCCCACCACCCGGAGAACTTGCCTCTGTGCCAGGGCTGCCCACGGAGATGCCTGGGGAGGGGGCTCAGCCCCAAATCCTGTCACAGCTGCCAGAAGACAAATTCCTACGGGGAAAAAAAGCTCAGGTTGGGCTCAGGGAGAGGCTGCGGAAAAGCCGCGTCCAGGCACGAGGCAGGAAAGCGACCCCGTCACGGGCTGCCAGAAGACAAATTCCTACGGGGGAAAAAAAGCTCAGGTTGGGCTCAGGGAGAGGCTGCGGAAAAGCCGCGTCCAGGCACGAGGCAGGAAAGGGAGCGGTGTTTACTCCAGGTCCTCCAAAACTTGTTGGAGCAGGATTTAATTTGCTGAGCTCTTCCCCGTTACGAAGCCTTGAGCAACGCTGGGTCCGGGAGGGAGCGCATCCTGCGCGGGGCTGGAAATCATTAATCTGCCTTGTGCTGGGGAACAACAACAACCCCCCCAGGTACCCAGGAGATGTCGGGGGAGGCTGCCTCCCAACGCCTCTGATTTCCTCCGGAGCATTTCCTTTCTCCGGCCGCATCCACCCATCCTGCTGAATTTTTTCTCAATGATACAGACTCCGGCCCCCAGCTGTTTACATGCCTGCCCGCTCCGCATCCATCTTTACCCTTCTAAAGGGCTTTTTTAAGGTGGTTTTGGTTTTGTTTTGTTTGTTGGTTGTTTTTTTTTTAAAGTTATACTCAGTTTTTTCCCCAGCACAAACCCACCGAGCCCCACCCCAAGCACACACAAGCCATATTTTGGGGTGCCTGAGCTCCACCCCCCGCACCCAAGCAGCCTCTCCCTCCTCCCAGCACATCAACCCCCCCTTTGGGGCATCCAGGGATCGATCCCCCCCCCCGGGAATATTATTTTCCCGGTGAGGGGGGGGTATTTCAGGCCACGGCTGCAGCTGGAGGTCAAAGTCGGGGGTGGGGGG